TCAACAGCCTTGACTCCCTCTGATGCAGACCAACACAGTCCCATCTATTTTATGCTGTCCCATGCAGCATCCTTACCCTTTTGTGTGCCACACACCCAGGCATGCAACACAAATCCTTTACTTTCCTGCCACCAAAACACACTTCAGAAACTCTCAGCACGTCTCTTAAAACAAACATTTCAGCTACTTAGCCCTGAAAAAAAATACACAAAACCAATGATACCTTGGGACCTCAAGGGAACACCCAGTTCAGTGGAGACCGAGGTCCAATGCTATGTATGTCTGTACTTCATGTCAGCCTCTGTTAGAGAGGCATCATCCTAATTAGGACAGACACAATCCACTACACACTCCACAACCTTCTTTCTTAGCAGTCAGAATAAAAAAAAGCAGGCAAACTGCATCCACATGCCCCATAACAGGCAGAGCCTGGATGCCTACCCAAGCCCAGGGAGTTGCATCCAAGAAAAATACCCAAATTACCCAGCTGTGGTAGCTCACAGGTGGATTGTTTATTATCCTTCTCAGGTGGTTCCCTCCATCTTTCCCCCTAGAATTGTTTTATGACTGTATGAATAAGCAAATATTTATTAGATGAAAAAGAAGAAGCCCTGTGGCTCTGAAGCTTAAATCCCTGTACCAATTGTGTACAAAAATGGGACATGTTTAAAGATCAGTGTTACTGGGATAAAGCAGACTTTTCTATTGTTTCAACCAGAATCTTCCTTTTGATCTGAAAAGCCTTTTATAAAAATTACCCACAAATTACAAGTTTCTGCATGGAGCTTTCATTTTTTGAGAATGTTCTAGACTAGCTTTACGTGAGGACCACACACTGGATGGCAGAGGCTGATGCTGATGAATTGCTGTTTTCAGCTGTAGAATTTAATTATTCTCATTCTGTACAGCTGACATTATTGTGTGGTGATGTGTTTGTCTTCTCACACCTCCGGGAGGGAGGATGAAATGAATCTTCTACTTTCAGAGTGCCAAATGGACAGTTTGAGTAAGAAATGCTGCAATAAGACCTGCATGACTATGTCCTCTGATGTGAATGGTGAATCCAGGTTCTTTAGATCTTTTTTTCTAGCAGCACTTAGAAACTGGAAGCGTTTATTTTAAAATGTTACAGGAAAATTACACAGAACTTAAGCCTATGCTGACAAAGGAAATTCACTAGTTTATATTGGCTGATTTCTAGCCTGCATTCCTGAAGCCCTTCCTTTCACTTCTGCAAGCCAACAAGGTCACTAATTCTACTCATTTTCAGTTGTCAGTCAATAATCACTTACATGGCGCTGTCTTTGGAGATGACAGCTGAGACAAGATCTGATGTGCAGCCTTGCTTCCACAATGCCTTCCTAAACACCAGTCTGAGGCAGCTGAAAGGACAGAATACTCTCTATCTGATGATTAAATGACACGTTCACCCAGCTTGTCATAAAGCAGGTTTGCAGGAAGTTTACAGCACTGCTAAGTGGGAAATGTCTCTGCTTGGGTGGCATAATGAAGTCATACAAAGTAGAACAGTCCCTGCTATTGGACATTAATGAGAATCAACTGGTTTTCGGCTCTAAGGCATTTTAATTGTATTACAAGCAGAGGCCATCTGGCTTAAGAATGAATATTCAGTATTTGTAGCAGAAGCAGAAATACTTCAGAGGGAAATGGTCCCTTCTCAGCTTCCAGCTTGGACAGTGCCCATCACTAAAACTAGTTTATCACACAGTTGGCTAAACTGCAATTTTATGTCCAACCAATGTCTTTTTTGGCTATTATTATCATACTAATTAGTTACTGTTTACTAGTTTGGACTTTATGTTTTCAAAAAACAAGATCACTTTATATTAAAATCTCCTAAGGGATAGCATATTTCACCACACTCTGCAGAGAACCGTGACAGCTCGTCAGCTTTTATTTACTGAGAAGTCATAGGGGTGGAAATCAATTTATTTTTTTTGAGGTATACATATAATTTCTCTCTTGGGTGTGATAGGTGCAATCCCTGTTTATTAAACATTTTAAGAAAACATTTGCAAAAAGGGAAATGTAAAGAACAAGTATCGCAGCAAACAATAACTTTCCTGAGAAAGAACTGAGCTGAGAAAGAATGAAACCATCACTTCTAAAGGGAAGGCATTAATGTCACAATTTTTATGACTGTTTCCTGACACATTAACTATTTATTTCTACTGGGGTGCCTTTTACTGCAGCTTGTTGGGAAAAACAAACAGATTCAGAAGAAATTTTTACCAAGCTCTGTATGAAGACCAGAACACAATGTTGCACACTTCTGAGAAGCTCAAGCTGTTAATACTTTAGTAAATAATATGTAAGTCTCATGGCCTATTTATGAAACTGTAGGTTTATTTGTTTAAGTACCTGAATATCTTGAGGCAACTCTGAGGCGGATGTTGAGCCGACAGCCTTGTCTGCCACACTGAGCCACCTCAAATCTGAGCAGCCCAAGGAGAGTGGGGGGCCAGGCTGAAATCCCCAGGAGGTATTTGACTTGAATGCAACTGGGACCAGTGCTAGCAGAAATGCATTTAAAGGTAGTGAGGCTCTGCCACAATATTTTGGAATTAAATCAAACAACATGTTGACTCTTTCCTGAGGGAATGTGATGTGATAAATCCATGATGCATTTCCTCACTGGAGCTATCTGGGCTGTGTTGGCTCTCACGAGCACCAGATTGCAGTGGGTGAAGCAATTTCCTGCACGCATTTAGAAATTGCTTTGGAATACTTCAGGGTGATGAAAGTTAGTTGAGCCAATATGATTAGAGAGCTATCACCTCCTTTTTGCTGTATTACTGCCATAATCATACAAGGAAAATGCATATACTTCCACTTGGGAACAAATTCCAAGGAAGAATAAACCCATAATACCAACCATCAGCTAATATTGTCAGACAACTAAATTTTCTTTTACTTGCTTTCTTACTCTTCTCAGGGGAAATTCACCCTATTGCATGAGACCAACACAAGACCCACCCAGGCCTGAATGCTGGATACTATGGCACTGGTTACAGTGCTACTGAAATGGCCAGGTAGGCTTTCAGAGTGGGCTTGCCATGGAGCTACACATTGCCTTGTGATGCAGTTCTGTCAGAGCTGAGCAGGGTGCACTGAGGTGAGGAAGTGCTCCGGAATGTGAGAAAGGAAGGCAAAGTCAGTTCCCAATACATAAACACATATTAAACAATAAGCAAAGAGTAGAAATCAGAGCTGTAACTTGGAAGTCTAAGTGAGGATGAAAAGAGTGATAGTAAGAGTTTTCCTCTCCTTTGCCTTATAGGAAAAACATGCCAAGTGTTATATAAAAAGGTAAAAATTTCAACCTTGATAACTGAATCATTTAGTTATGCAAATCTGAAGTTATTCTGACTCAAAAAGCAATTGATGGATTTGCTGTTCAGGCAGTACACACATTGTACTTCCATGCAAGTCAGTATGTCTGTCTGTCACCTATTGCAAGGCAGAATTCCTTTTGAGCGGCCTCGCATCCCAAGAACAGGAAGTGATCAGAACTATTGGCAGCATTACTACCAGAGCTGTAACTATGAGACTCCGTCTTGCAGTAAATCCAAACTCATTTTATGTGTGTTCAGTGACATCCCATTCAGTGTATAAACATGGTCAGTATTGTATGAAAACGTCTCCTTGAGAACACCAACAAAACTGAATCGAATTGAGTGCTGGAAACAAAAGACACAGTCTCAGACAAGAAAATTTTGTCAGAATTTTGTGGCTTTAGAGGAAATGCTGAGCACAACTCAAACATCTACACGAAACTGCTATGTTAGCAAGGTGAAGTAAGCCTAATGAAAAAACACCACCACTTGAGACTGGTATTTAAAATGGCAATCACAAGAGGCAAAACAAGTTTAATATATACGGTCTGGCAAAGCTGCATTCTGCTTCTTGAAGAATGCATTGCATATTATGAGCATTCCTATTACAATATTATTGCAATATTCAAGGTGTACTCAGAAGATACTATTAATTTTTTTAATGTAGGTTTACTTGTTTGCATCTTATTTTACAGCCACTCTTCCAGCCTCCAGTTTAACTTCTAAAATTAAAGCTAGTGATATTTCCATATCAAAGTTTAAAATTAATTTGCTTTGTGGGACATGCCCCTTGATCTAAAATACTCCATTTTAATTAGGACATTTAATTTTCTCTAATGGAATAAGGTTCCATTCATTTAATCCAAAACTACCTTCTGAAAGAGGTACAAGTAGCACATTTTCTCAGCACAAGCCCTCCTAAGGCTTGTCTGCATGAAGAGATTGCACCTATGCAGCTAAATTGATTTCAGATTTAACTACTTTCCAGGCTAAAAATGTTACTGAAGTTAACTGCAAGTGGATCTGCCCTACTTCTGGATCAGTTTATCAAACAGCTTTTTCTAATGCAAGCCAGAAAAGATAGTAGAAAATCAGTTATCACTACAAGTATGTGTTAGGACAAAAATGCCAACTGAAAATAGTCCCACATCCCAGAGCACGGGTGTCCGGACCTGCACAGCCTGGAGTAAGGCCACTTCCCACCATCATTTTTGTACAGCTTCCTTCTTCCCTTTTCAGTCTTCTCTATAATGCGTACGTGTAGACAGTGCCAGATCACATCTGCTCCTCATTAAGAGGATGCACAAGACATTTTCAAGGAACATTCTGCATATTCTGGCTCCGTGTTAGGATAATGCTCTGCCCCCATGCATGCACAAAGGCACACGGGTAGATCAGGGCAGGGAGAATGCATGGGCACATGCACAGACAGTGCCCTTACTGTGACAGCTCACTCCTTCCATTTAAAATCAGTATTTGTTCTGGGGAAGGTCTGCCTTTATGTATTTTTACATCACATCAGCACAGAGAAATGTAATCAATACCACACGTTTTGATAAACTCGGAAATTGCTTCAGATCCACGCGGACGACAGTGCTCACAATGTAGGGGCAAGGCAACCAAACGATTGTAAAAGCTGCATACCTTGAAAACTAGCCAGGCTGTCATCCATTTGACCACTTTCACAACCCAAAAGACATGCTTGTAGAGGTCAGTATTCACTACTCCAGGGTCTACTACATTAGCAGTCACATGGCTTCCATTTGCAGTCAGAAGATGCTGTAGACGATAGGTAAATAACACAAGGGCAAGTTTGCTTTGGGCATAGGCTCCATGGGGTGAATACGAACATCTGTACACAGGAGAGAAAGAGAGATGGAGTTGCACTTAAAGACAATCAGAAGGAAAAGGGAATTGCACAAACATTACATGTACTGCATTTTGCAATATCCACCAAACAAACAACTATACGTTGAGTTGTCAGAAGAAACAACATGTTGTTTGCTGGAGTTCTGGTGATTATTCCATCAGACACCAAGTTTGATTTATGGCAGGGAAAAAAATAAATTGCACGGTACCTGCCAGAATCTCTGTGTCAGACTATTTAAACAAGAAATGCTGAGGCACCGATCTCCAGGGTAACATCACCTAGAGGCACTCAGACTGCTCTTCCCCTCCTCACAGCCCTCTGTCCAGACACACATACCCTGTTCTCAACAGTAAATCCGTTCCTGATCATACCACCCCTAATTATTACTATTTGTATTGCAGCATGACCTACTAGTTTCTCATGAAGGCTCCTGTGCTGTGCACAGTGCAGATGAGTAAGGCAATCATTGCACCTGCCCCAGTGACACACCAGATTACGCACAGCTAAAGAGGTGGATAAAAAGATGGAGCAAGAAGAGTAGCTGCAAGTGTAACAAGAGTTATGCCATAGACAGCCTTTACAGCAAAGACGGCTGGCCAGGTCTGTGCCAAACAGGAGGTGAGACGAAGGCACACAAATATTGTTAGGTACAGCAAACATTCCCTGTTGAGACTTTTATGCACCTCTCTCATCTGGATGCTGAATCTGCCTTTCTTTCAAGTCAGCCTTTCCAGGAACTGCTGATTAGTTTGGCTTCACTTTATGCAGGCAGCAGTACATTTTTTTAAAATAAGCAGGCTAGTCCCAGGGAAATTAGCAGGTATGTCACTTAAAATGCTCCTCCTGACTGAGGCCTCAGCATCACTTCCACAAACTCCTACACTGTGACGATTCACTCTTATAATTACTACAGCCTCTCATCTAACCTCTTCTGTGCTTAGCAGAACCAAAGGTAATTCCTGACATTACAGACAGCTCATAGGCAAAGCAGGCAGGAGCCTAAAGCAACGGGCTCCTGGAGGCAGCAGAACAGCTTTGGTCCTGATCCCCTTTGCCTCTGCCAAAGCCTGGGGAAGGAGAGCTGCTTGATGCTGCTGCTGCTGCCAGTATGGAGCCAGGGGTTAGGGTCCCAGGGGCAGCAGCTGCTTCTGGTGGAGGGATATAGAGGGGCACCCACCCAGGAGATCTCTCTTTGCCAGCTCTCTCCTTCCCCCTAGTTGCTGTCTTGCCTATGTAACAGCTGCAGCTACTGCTCCATCTTCACCCTTATTGCATCGAACACCCGGGCTGAGGCTGTTCCTGCTCTCCTGAAAAGCCTGCCCTCAGTTTGCTGTGGTTGATACTGTGTGCAAGGCTTTTATTTTGAGTGAATAGCAAATACGTCTCAGAGTTCTTTTTTGTTATCCCATTCTCGTTGAATACCTTATTTATAATCTCCTGTGCACTTCACCACAGAAAGCCCTGGATGCTAGCAAACAGGTTGACTCTCAGCAGAGATGTAAGGCTACTGAAGTAATTCAACTGCCTGTGTTATCTGAATGGACTCAGAAATTGGGAGACACAATAGTAAATAATGCAGCTCAGCTACAGGAAGTAAAAGACAAGAACAGTGCATCTCTAGTGTATCTGTGTGGGTTTTTCCCTTCTTTTTTTCCCTGCTCTTTTCTTCTTCAGGCAAATCACAAACAAACAGGCTATAAAAGCATTCTAAAAATTGAGAGAGAATAAAAAAGGAGAGCTGATCACAAACAGCCCTTGCACCAACCAACGGCCTGAGCTATAACGTGCTGGATAACATAGCCCCATCATCATAAAGGTACCACCTGTGCCTCAGGGTTAAATGGGCTATTTTAAGAATAAAGAACAATTACTGCATGAATAGAAAACCGAGTTGGCATTAGTCAGGAAATTGCAGTTACATTTTAAATTCAGTAACGTCCGTGTTCTGATCTGAGACACTCAAGATGTCACCTTATGCTTCATGTATATTTCAACCCTTTTAACTTGAAGGACCAGATCCTCAGCCACCACGAGCTCCCCTTGCGCAGCCGTGCAGGGCAGAGCTCACGCCACCCATGGGAAGAAGCACTTCATCTGAAGCTGCCTCCAGCAGCCAGCTGGCAGCCAACCCTGGCACTTCTCCATCGGTGACACCGTTTCCCCACCAGTGGAGAACACAAGCTGAGGCACGGGACGAGCTTCCTGAGTTGAGTTAGAGTGATCTTGTCTGGCAGGTGGCTCGCAGGGAAGCAGGGCTGGGGACTCCTCTGACTTGTTCTGCCTGGGTCTAGTCTGGCCTTCAGTAACCTCCAGGTGCCAGGCAGGTGGACGATGAATGCTCTCCATTCCCACATTGTGTGAGTGCTGTTTGACTTACCTTGTGGCAATGAAGCATGAACTACAAGAGCCAGATCCTCAAAAGCCTTGTACTTTGCATAGATAACTATGTCAGAGAAACACGAGTGCTGAGAAGATATAAAAAGCTATCTAATCAGTGAGGAAGCCTTTTATATCACAGTGCAGAGATGCAAATGATTTGCAAGGCAGCGGGAAATCAGGCTTCAATAACATACGATAGATATGAAGGATATAAAAGGGGATACACAGAGCAGACACTTTTGGCAGAACCCTTGCAGTAATTACCTGCTCTCTTCCCATTTTCTCTGTGCATGCTTTTTGCTTTCCAGGAGTCTGACATCAATGAACTACATAAAACAGAGGAATAACCTGTGACACAGAACTGACAAGGACTCTTGATGAACAACTGTTTTGTTTGTGAGACTGCATCTTATTAGAATCGTGTTGTTTTAATGTCCTATTGGGAAAAAAAAAACCCACAACATTGCTTACCTGATTTCATTACATCCAGTCTTAACTTTATGCATCAGAAAAAAATAGCAGCACGTAAGCACCTCTTGCTGTACCATGCACATACGTGTAGAATCACAGAATGGTTTGGAAGTGACCTTAAAGATCATCTAGTTTCAACCTCCCTGCCATGGGCAGGGACATCTCTCATTAGACTAGGTTTCTCCAAGTCCCACCCAACCTGGCTTTGAACACTTTCAGGGGGGGGGCAGCCACAACTTCCCTAGACAACCTGTTCCTGTCTCATCAATATCAATGTAAAAAACTTCTTTCTTATGTCCAATCTAAGTCTACCCTCTTTCAATTTAAAACCATACAATGTTACACTTACACTTGGAATAATGTGGTTTAAGGTCTATGCATCTAGATCTAGTATCTCTTGGCACTCTGTGCTCTGTAGGTGCATTTTCTGAATGAAACTATAACTGTATACTAAATAAAATAATAATTTACATTATGCATTTCCACATTTCTTTCATTTCCTGAAGACTCTAAAAGCTTTCTGAAATGAAACTGCACTCAAGAGGCCAGCCAGTTCAGAGCAGAACACAGCAAACTGTACAGGCACATCAGTGCACCAAAGGTGCCTGTGATGCTTGGACCCCTGAGGACACAGGGTATTGATGCTTTGCAGCAAGAAAGGCAGGTTTTCAACTCCTAACTAGGTGGCCAGCCAGGCAAAAGACTGGTAGCTCCCATGCTGGCCAGTCAACTCCAGAGCTAGGAGGTGCAAGTGTTTGACTGCCCACGGATATCTCCTAATAAATGCTGCCCACCAAGCTCAAGCTACGCCAGACAACATATGCAGTGATATGGCAAGCCTGTGCAGGATTAGCAGCTAAGAAAAGCAGAGCAAGGGCTTGGTGGGAAGAAGTCCAGTTGGAAGAAGTGGCGTGCCCGGTACCAGTAGCTTAGAGAAGTTCATGCCTACACACTCATTTCAGCGGGCCTCTCTATGGACCTGCCACAGAAAAGAGTCTCCCCTGGGGGATGGCCCTTAGAGCATTTTGCCAAGTCAGAGCTGATAAAATAGGGCAATGCTCAACTCACTAAGTGGGAACTACTGGAGGAGTTAAGGCAGACAGGATTTAATTAGCTGCTTTGAAATCTGGCCAAGAGAGCAGCAGAACACAAGAACTTCTTCCTTGAAAAATAATGTTTTATTGATTCTATACTAATGCATAAAGGAAAAGGACAAGGCAGGCAATGCACTTTCTGTTCAATTAATTTTTAGCAGAAATTCTTTTTTTTTGGCTTAAGATTTTTTGCAAAGTAGACTTAACAAGCTTGAATTGTCATTATAAAAGTGAAGGAGGAGAAAAGAAAGAGTTTGTTTTGTATTTTTGCCAAAACAAAGTAAGTATTCAGTTCTTCAGTATCTGAGTGCCTTGTGGTTTGCTGATTATTTTTTTTATTATTATTATTTATTTTTTTTTTCCCACCAGAAGCTGATGTTACCACTCATCTCCATGGTGATGTCTCCAGCAGCAGTCTTCCTAGCATGCTGGGGCACTGTATTTGTAAAAAGTAATAAGAAGCCAAATTGCAAAGCAGAGCCTGCAGTGGCTAATTAAGTGTTTAAATATGGACTCAGCTGCTATCCAAGTTTGAAAACAGGATCCATGTTTAGCACCTCCCTCAGCAGCCAGTCCTGCTCTGGTTTCTATCTGGCTTTAGTCAGTCTTTGCTCAGTAGAACTCTCCCATTTACATCCAATGATATACCATGTTTAGTGAAGAGCATTAAGTCAGCTCAGGGTACCCTCTGAATAACAGAGGAAATTAAATTGTGCTCAGCACAGACCACTTCCTCCACACCTCTTGCATGCAGGCTCTCCCTGCTCTTGGCTTTTTCCCTTTCATTAACAATTGGTTTTGAATTATGCACATATGTGGAGGAAGCAGAAACACTGCAACTAAAGGAAGGGCACAGTGACAGCACCCTCTCCCTTCCCCACCACACCTTGCTTCAAGAAAAGACTCAGAGGACCTGTGGCCATACTGACAACACACAGCTACATTTAACCTGGCTGGTGCCTGGCAGTGAAGTTTTTCTGACAAAGGACTCTTTCACACTGTACTTGTCTTGCTCCCCCATTTCCTGTGTGTTAATTT